ATGGAAAATTGAAGCACGCTCGCGCTATTGAATCTGATTGCACGAATTTACAAGCTATGTTATAGACATTGTTAAATAGTAGTTTAGCAAGGCTTCGTAATGCCAGCTGTTGTATACGTGTTTCTGCGAAAAAAAATAGGAATTCGTCATTTTTCCTTTTTAAAAAATAGGTTTAACCCCTTTTATAGATGCGCAGACCATCGACAAATAAAATCATGTAGGCCATTTTATTACGAGCCAATTTTATCATTATATTTACTTCTATTAAGCTTGATGAAAGTCTTAGTTTAAATGCAGCTCCAGCAAGTTTGTAATTAAGCGGCGTTTGATAGATGCGCAGTCAGGTGATTCTGAAGATCCGTTCAATAATCGACCTATTTCGCTTCTCCCTATCCTTTCAAAGGTATCTTAACGATTGGCCTATAGACAAATAAGTTATTGGCTAAAACTCAAAGTGGTAACCGAAAGTTTCACTCAACTGAGACTGCCCTTCTACGTGTTACTGACGACCTCTTGCAGGCAATCGATGATGAAAAGATCTCAGCTCTAGTTTTACTCGATATGTCAAAGGCCTTTGACAGCATTAGACATGATATTCTACTGCAGAAACTACGGGCTCGCGGTGTTACATCCTGCAAGTCATGACTGGTTCCATAGCTACCTTGTTGGCCGCAGTCAAAAAGTACGCATCCCATGATGCTACCACTGATGCACTTCCTATGAAGTATGGAGTTCCTCAGGGATCAATATTGGGCCCAGTCCTGTTTACTATTTATGTAAATTACCTATTGTCTATCTCTTCTCACTGAAAATCGGCCTGTTACGTTGATAATGCTAAACTATACCTGTCCTTTCCCTGTTCCGATATGTCCACCGCAATTCATAATCTAAATGCGGACCTGGAACAAGTCTCCAGATGGAGTTGCCAAAATTCTTTATGGATAAATCCTGATAAGACTAAAGTGTTAATTATCGGTTTGCCTCAACTTCTCAATAACTTGCCCACAGCATCTATTCGGATGCTTGGAAAAGAAATTACACCCTCCACTGTTGCTAAAGATCTTGGCATTTATATTGACCAATCACTAACTTACAACGAACACATTACTAAAACAGCCTTTACTTGCTTACATAAAAACGTACAAATCAATAGAATAAAACACTTGTTAGATAAGAAAACAATACTTCTCCTTATAAATTCCTTCGTTTTTAGTAAGTTATATCATTGCTCAACTGTTTGGTCTAATAGTAGTAAACATAACATCAACAAACTTCAGTTAGTACAGAAATTTTCCGCCCGTGTTGTTCTTCGCCTTAAAAAGCTCGATCGCATCTCACAAGTTACCAAATCGCTAAACTGGCTGCTTGTTAATGACAGAATTTACTTGAACGATGCAGTGATGATATACAAATGTATTAATAAACTTGTGCCTGACTACTTAACCGAGAAATTTACTATGCGTTCACAAATTCACACTAGAAATACTAGACAACGCGATCAACTGAACATTTTTTGTTTTAAAAAATACTGTTTTCAAAAACAAATCTTACAATTGCAAAAGGCACTTAGCGACACGCTGCAAAATCAATACCTCGGAAAAGGATGCTGCTATAACCTAAAGACTTAGGAGAAAAGAACACAGATCTGCAAATACATTAGGTTATACTAACAAATACTATTCAAGCTAAACCCTAGCGTTGTTTTTAATCTGTGCCACGAAAGAAATAATATTAGTGATAGCATGAAATAAAGCTTCACGACTTCGTTCAGGTGTTAAACTATGAAATGAAATGGACTGTGTTTAAGATAGACGAAGGAAAGAAAGATGAACGAAAGCTAAAAGAAAGCTGAATCACTCAAATATACCTAAACTGTGGGAAAAAAAAAGGCGAGGTGTAAGTGACCGCCCACAAATCCAGTTTCGATGCCGGGCTACTTTCAGCTAGTCAATTTTTCTTTTAGTTTTTTCTTGAACAAAGATGGAATGTTTACGAAAGGCAGACTATATTTTTTTCTTTAACTCATAACAACTTTCATTGATCTTGTTGTTTTCTTGTTCTTTCTTTCTTCTTTTTTTCGTATGGTGCGAACCACATCATCTTTGGAATTCTAGGAAGTTTGCAGTTGGACCTATTTCAAAGATTTGTTTATTCAAAATTACTGTCATCTTTAGCGGCAAAATCAATAAATTAAAAAAGGATTCTGCCAGAGCCTAAAGACTCAAGGAAAAAGAACTAGAGTGAGAAAACACAATAGGTGATAGTAACAAAGGCTTTGTGTCTTAAAAATACGGTTTTCCAACACAAATTAATCTTACAAAAGGCACTTTAGCGGCACGCTGCAAGATCAATAAATCGAAACTGAAGAATTCTGCGAGAGGCTAAAGACTCAAGGAAAAGGAACTTAAGTGAGAAAAAACAATAGGAGATAGTAACAAAGGCTCTGTATTAAATACTGTTTTCCAAAACAAATCTTACAAAAGGCACTTTAGCGGCATGCTGCAAGATCAATAAATTGAAAAAGGATTCTGCTAGAGCCTTAATACGCAAGGGAAAAGAACACAAGTGTGAAAACACAATAGTTGATACATACATACATACATACATACATAATTTATTTGGTAACGCAGGTTGGTTACAGGCAGCATTAAGCTGATGTGTACCTGCGACAAATCTAACTTCTATTTAATTAAAGTAATTAAATAGATGGGTTCTCCGTTAGCACCCATCCTAGCTAATATTTTTCTTGGTTTCCACGAGGAAACACGGCTAAATAATTTTAACCATTCGACTAGCCTTTTACTTTATAGGCGTTATGTTGACGACACCTTTTGTGTCTTCCACAATGAACAGGATGCGATGTCATTTTTTGATTCTATTAATTCACGGCACCCCAACTTAAAATTCACTTTTGAAAAAGAGCATGATGCTAAACTCTCCTTTCTTGATATATTTATCGACAACTCTTCGAATGATTGTGTTTTTTCAGTTTATCACAAAAAAAACCTACACTGGTCTCCTAACAAATTTGTTCAGTTTTATTCCATCATGCTACAAAATTGGCCTTATCCAAACTCTTATTGACCGTATCTACAAAATCAACAACACCTCTTCCGGTCTTCAAAACGATCTTAAGAAACTTTCCGACACTTTGAAACGTAATTCTTTTCCTTCGCATTTTTTTGAAAGAACTTTCAAGCGGTATCTTGACGGGTCCTCCTCTCAAAATAGCCGGAACATTGATGACAATAATACACGTTACTTAAACTCCCTTTTGTCGGCTATTATTCTAAAATAGCGAACCTTAAACTCCGACAACTCACTAAGCGCTGTTGTAAATCGGACCTAAATATCAAACTAGTTTTCACTTCTTTCAAAATTAAAAACATGTTCAGTGTTAAAGATCGTACTCCTGATGCTCTAAAATCCATGGTAGTTTATCAATTTTGTTATGCGGGATGTAATTCCCGTTATATTGGCGAAACTAGTCGCCACTTCTCTACTAGGATAAAGGAGCACACGGAAAGCGATAAAAACTCACATATTTTTTAAGCCTTTTAACACATCTCCTTGTAAGAACAAATACTCCCTTTCTTGCTTTAGTATTCTGGATTCTGCCAACAACTCAATTGATTTAAAACTCAAAGAAGCTTTTTATATGAATAAGATCAAACCTGAACTTAACAAACAGTTACAGTATTATAACACTTTTCTAGCATTTTAGTTCACACCTTTAATTTCGTGTTTGTTGTCTTGCTGTAATTAGTACCCGATTTTGTATTACATCATACGGTGAATATTTTATTCATCTACTTGTCTGTTATACAATTACTCACGTTCAGTTACTCATTGATTGAAGATGGCATAAGCATGCCGAAACATGTCTCTAAAAAGAGTTTCTACTTCTTACTATAATTACAAAAAAGTAGAAAAATTCTAGCGTAAATTAAAATATGAGTAGTGATTCAAACTGGTTTATAATCCTGGCATAAATTTCAATACAGGTGGTAAGATAAAATTCCTAAAAATATTTACAATTTACCAAATCCTTGTTGCCAACTAGAGCAGTTTGATTAAAAGATATCTTTTCAATAATTGTTGAAAGAGAACGGAGTTTGTTCTTAAATCTCTTATTATCCTCTATGTTCTTAACTGAATGAGGCAAGGAATTCCACGCTTTTGCAGACCTATGTCTAAAAGACAGTCTTCCAACATTGGAGTTTGGTATCTCCAGAGTTAGTTTTAAATTGTCCCTCATATTTCGTATATTTGGACTTTTCCTAATAACTGTTACAACCTGCTCATCTTATAGAAACAACTTATCGATTTCCAAGAAGATGGTATCACTGATTGGGACTTAGTACCTCCATGTTTTTTGAAGATAAGCTTGGCAGCACTCAGGTGAATTTTCTCTAAAACACCTAATTTTGCTTACCCCATATACAAATTCCATAAGTGATGCTTGGTAAAATTCCCTTAAAATATATGGACTCCAAGATATGAGAGGGAAGGCTTTTAAACCTGCGAAGTTGCTTTACCTTCTTGGCCATAGATATTGATAGATCTTTGATGTGGTTGTCGGGAGCTTAACTTATTGTCAATCATAAACCAAAGACAGTATGACTTCTTGACAAAGTTAATGCCATGACCACCCAGTTTGACTAGTCTTAAACATAGTTAGTAGAGGCGAACTGGTTATGAAACCCGGCAAACTTCAAAAGGCCGGCCTATTGCTTCGCTTTTGAGGTTGAACGGGTCCATCACATGATCGTGACCCTGCACATCATAAAGCAATATGGCGGACGAGACAGACGGGCTGTTCATGTTTGGTGATGATTTAGAAGCTATTTTGGATGTTTTAGAAGAAGATGAGAGAATACAAGATGACTTCACGGAAGCAGTGAACCTTGTAAGTGTAGAAGATTTTATTTTTGACTCGAATTATCGACAAATACACTCGAAAGTGTTCAAAATGTTTCTATAAACAGTCACCACTTTCT